ATTGATGGCGACGTTTTAAAGGCAAATTTAGGGCGGAAATGAATATTTTTTATTCAACTCAGTCGATCTTTTACGGTCTCCCCCAGTCAAAAAAATGGGTGAATAGCCTCCTATACAGGGTGACCCAAAAAATGCAACCCTGATGCATTGTGGTAGGTTTTTTTTCTTCAAAATCGCGACTTGTGTGTTTTAAGTTTTAAATATCAGATTAAGTTGAGAGTCTTTCTTTCAAATACATGTAAAAAAAAATCATAAAAACAGCACATTGGGTTGCTGAGAAAATGCCAATTATGTAAAATTGTCTTTAATTTGTGCAATTTCTTTATTACATGTATATTGAGATATTTATGATGCCTAGAAGGTTGATAATTGAGCTAAAAAATAAGGTATTTCCATCAAATTCGTTTGCACTTTTGTCATGTGCTGTGTTTTGATGTTTTTGTTGGTAAGAACTAGGACACAATGCGACATGAATTTCATGCACAAATAGGTACAGTGTAAGTCTCTTAACTGTGGTAATGTCATTGGAATGGACCAAAAATGAGGTGTGTTAAATAATTGCCATATTGTGAAAAACAGGATGAGTAGTAGGTGAGGGGTAAATCGGGCATTGTTTTGAGGATTTTGTGAGGAGGAGGAGTGAGTTAAGGAGTGAGTTGTGAGGAGGGAGTTTGTGATGAGGAGGAGCGAGTTGTAGCCTTGGTCAATGCTCTCGTCGTTATTCGTCCCGTACGCGGTCAATCGTCGGCATATATCCTCACGCGCTATGCACATGCATGTAAAAATACAGCGCGAACAGCGACCTGATGCGGCCACTACTTTTTTTATGCAAATCAGTTGGGGACGATCTCGAGCCCTGGTTCAATCGTCGGCAAAAGCTTATGTTTTTCTTTATTTTGCGCTGGATTTCTAGCGCACGACCTCGTATGCGAATACAGATAAGTGTAGGCGGGGCTAACATGTGGAGTGTCCAATCACACCTTGGTAAATCCGGACGTCATCAAATTATTTGCAGCTATTCGCCTTTTGCGGACGTGACAAGAACCACAGTTTTTGTGCATTGGTGCCGTGTGCAGAGACACACAACGTGTACGTGTATGGATTATGTACGGTGCCACGTTTCACTATGCAAGTTTCCACGCAACGATCGACCAATAAGAAAACGACATTTAAGGTCAGCTAAGGCTATTAACATAATGAGCACCACCCCCAAAACCTCACATGGACGATTGAACCAAGGCTCTCGATCGTCCCCAACTGATTTGCATATAAAAATGGTGGCCGCGTGAGGTCGCTGTTCGCGCTGTATTTTTACATGCATGTGCATAGCGCGTGAGGATATACATGTATGCCGACGATTGACCGCGTACGGGACGAATAACGATGAGAGCATTGACCAAGGCTAAGCGAGTTGTGGATATGTGAGGAGGAGGGGGATTAAGTTGAGAAGGGAGTTTGTGGATCAAGTTGTGGATCTGTGTGGATCAAGTTGTGGATCATGTTCTATTTGTAGATAGAATAAACGCTGAAAAGATGGAATAAAGACGGCCGCGGCGGTGGCGGTGTCTGCGCATGTCAGAGGAGTTCAAAGTTGCGCGCGCGCGTGTTCTCCTGCTCCTCGCCGTCGAGTTACATCTGCGTTCTTGTTAGCAATTCATTTGAAATGATCTCATCATTGTCCATTAAATAATGTTTATTTCGTGGTTCTGCTCTGTATATCTGTCGATCGTATACGTATCCGGTTTTCTTTGTCAATAGATATGACAGCAAATAAAATGCGCATGGTTCAAAAACTTTCCATTGAGACGGGTTAACTTGTCACATATTTTGTTCATGTCTAATTCATGTCTAATCCCACGTGTTCGAGGTTTGTATAATCTTTATTGTCTATGTGCTTCATAAATTGTACTTGGTTGTTGCAGCGCAGTGTTGTGATGACGAGGCTCTAGGCTTGATTCTGTGCCAATTCGCGCCCGTGTAGCAGGAATCCTACCATTGCATTTAGAATACCAAACTGGTGTGTTTAACTTCGCATTCTGCGTTTCTTACAGGCTGCAACTGCACGTATTGAACAGGAGGTTGCAACGCCAGTTATCTCTGGAAATAATGGTCACCCCGTCATAAAACGTTACAAGCAATGTAAAAAAACAACCATGGCCCAATCCCGTGTTCACCGTCAGTTCTTTTCAGCGTCGCTTCACTTTTTAGCGGATATTTACTTCACATGGTGTATCCGTAAAACACTCTACGTAAACCTTGCCACTAAAAAAGCCTAGTACCGGATCGAGCCGAGCCGAGCCTGCACAAGCCAAGCCGAACGGAGCCCCAGCCATAGCCCAACAAAGACTAGAATTGCCAAGCTCAGCCATACTAGATCAGCCTAGCCCAGATCGGCCGAGCACAGCCCAGCCCAACCCAAACCAACCAAGCCCAGCCAAGGGCGGATCCAGAACACAATTTTTTGGGGTGGCAAAAAAAACTTTGGTCCCCAAAAAGTGTGTCCATCAAAAATACGGCGTAGGGTTCGGGGCCCGCTTGAGGGCCCCGAAATTTTTATGGGATTCTATGCTCTGTGGTATGATCTGAGGTAATTTCTGACCACTTTAACCAATGTTTTTTTGAGGAAAAGATGGTGCGGTACTCATTGCCTGCCTTTATTGCGAAGTCACTAAAAAAATGGATTCTTTTTAGGGGGCATGGCCCCCTTTGGCCCCCCTGGATCCACCCATAAGCCCAGCCCAACCCATTGCCAATCCAAATCCAACCCAATCAAACCCAGCCAATCGAAGTCCAGGCAGCCCAGCCCATCCCATCCAAGCCACATCCAACCCACATCCAACCAAGCCAAAGACCAGCACAGCCCAGCAACAAGTCCAGCCCAACCCAAACCAAGACTCAATCCAATTATTAAACCGCTCCGACAAATCAAGCTGAAACTACAGGCTCTCATCAAACCAAAGAAGCCGGATTAAGAAATCAAAAGGGATTGCCATACATTATACAATATTGTTTTCTCAATGTACTATATACTTCATCTAATTATGTCTAATTATGTCCAATGAGATCCAAATAATTACAATTTATTCAAGAAAAAAGATATTTCCATTCGACAATCAACAAATCTGCGAAACCACATGATTATTGGCTAAACATGAAGTAATTTTATTTTTTGATTAAAATCTTTTAAGTAATGTAATAAGCTGACGAAATCAGTGCAACAAAAGCATGAACATTAATTAAAGATATTTTTTCCAAATCGCAAAAGACGCCATTTTGTTATTATTTAGAATCCCACTCTCCCCCTCCCCTACTTAAAAGTAATAAAGTGAAAACTCAAGTTGAGAAACAGAATGTAATACCAGTTTTATTCTGTTAAGTTTCATAATCGTGAAGTTTCTCACGTTGTTCAAATAGCGCGCTTGGGAAAAACACTTCAAATCATTAAAATACTTAGGGCTTGATGAAATGTCTGCAAATAGACAAGAATAAGTATTTTAAACTTTCGCTTTTTTATGAAACGTATACGTTACATGTTTTGCTTGAATAGATGTTTTGATAATTTTAAAAATTACATGCCAAAGGGGGAAGAAATTTCAAAAACAAATCATGATTTTGCGTGTATGTCCTTGCGAATCCACCGTTCATGCGTACATTGTACACGAACAGCTTTTACATGCTTCGACACTAATACCTATTAAGTACATACAACTGAACATGAATTCAGTGCGTCCCATTCTGGCAGAATTATCCTGCAACTGTTTCGAAATCCTCTTTGTCAAGAAAGTAACTTAACCACGCAGTTATATTTACAGCAGCTTTGGTTATACATTGCTACAAAGTGAAGCTCTTTTTGTCTATAATATTAAATGTTAAGACGAGGAAATAATAAACAAGACAGCTGGCAAGCCCCCTTTAGCTCGTCCCTTAAACTTGGTAGAAGTATTCAAAGTAGTCATCTGAATGATATTATTTGGGGGCCAAGGTGAGGCTTTAACAAATCGTATTCACAGGTGCCAGTCCGTCAGTGAGTCAGTGAGATAGGTACAAAGAGGACTGTAGGTTGGCCCTCTGGGACCAGCACAAAGGTAATCTCATCGGTTAAACAGAACCAATCTGACAGTCTGCAGTGCATAGTGGTTACTTTTTGACACGTCCTGTTTTATTTTATTATGACTGTGTATGAATTCAGGGTTTTTATTTTATTTTTTACATTTCCGACATTTCTCATGGAAAACTTTTTTTAACAAAGAACCGATAGTGGCGCGGCATAGCCCCGATATGCTATAAGGATTGTGCAAATTGTGATAAAAGCATGAAACTTCGCACGTTGGTTCTTCATGCCATGAAGAAAATTTTCAGATATACAGGCATTTCATATTTGACCTCTGGTGATCTTTGAGAGGTCAATGAACTTTACACTCTATTCATAACGTTTGTTCTTCAAAACTTCACTTTCCTATGACCTAAGTCTATGTCATAAGCCTGCAACATATACATCACATAACGGGAGATAGCTTGCAGTATTGATCCAGGTCCAGAAGTCTTCATACAATGAAAATAATGATCAGATGTGGGAACATTTCATATCTGACCTCTGGTGACCTTTGAGAGGTAAATGACCTTTGTAAACCTGTTTATAGATATTTGTAAGATTTATTCTTAAAACCCCAGCTTTTTCACGATTCAAGTCTAAATGAAAGACATTCATGCTATAAAGGGAATTTTCATATATAGGGTATTTTATATTTAACCACAGGTGACCTTACGAGAGGTCATGACCTTTGTAAAACCAAAGCCTACCTATGGATATTAACACGATTTACACAATCGTATGACCCAAGTCCAACATTTGTGCCATGAAAAGAATGTTCAGATGTGGGGACATCATATTTGAGGTAGTGATGCCCTCGAAGAGGTCAATGAACTTTGTATTTCCTTGTTGCCGTTATTTATCATATTTATTCGTCAAAACGCCATTTCTCGGTGACCTGAGCCTTAATTGTGCCAAAGAACGGTATTACACCTATAAGTTTAATGTGGATGGCAAAACTTACCTTTGGAGATTCCTGCGAAACAAGGTTTCAAGACTTATAAAACAATCGAAACGAGAATTCTACAAAAAGAGCGTGAGACACCTTAAATGTTCTAACCCCAGAGATTAGCATAAAGAAATCAAGAAACTAACAATCAAACACAAGGCCTGCATCTGGCCTCCTTGTGTCCACCACAAAGCCATCACTGCTTTTCAGCGTGTGCAGACCAGCTTTGTTGAATGCTCGTACGTTGCTGTAGTATCGCAGTCCACTCTTTAGATTCAGATTGGTGAACTGTGTGGAGGACACACTGGCCGGGAAGGTGTGGTCAGCAAACTGACGAATATCTTCACCTGAGAAACAAGATAGTTTACATCTTTTACATTCTGAAGTCAGGCAAAACATGACAAGAACGCATCACAGAGACCTCTAGTCCTGCTAGTAAATGTTTTAAAGAGCAAGGGTGACTCATATAGGAAACAAGATGGTTCTCGAACCATGCGTCGCCTGCTTTCGCGAATATCTTTAAAGAGTGACTAATCAGTATGAAGGTTGCCATGTTGCATGTATATGACCCAAGTTTGGTTCCAATTGGACTTCAACTTTTGAAATGAGACCAATACGTTCTGCCTATTTTACAACTTGACCTCAGATGACCTTTAACCTTGGTACGTGACCTTTGACTTCATTATCACATATCACAGAAGGTTGCCATGTTGCACCTATGACCCAAGTTTGGTTCCAATTGGACTTCAACTGTTGAAATGAAAGCAATTTAACATGTTCAGCCTATTTTACAACTTGACCCCAGATGACCTTTGACCTTGGTATGTGACCTTTGACATCAATGTCAGAAGAAGATTTCTATGTTGTATTTATGATTTAAGTTTGGTTCCAATTGGACTTCAACTTTTGAAACGAGACCAATTTGATGAAACTTTAACCAAAATACCACATACATGTACACACTATACATGACTTGTGCAGACTTAGTCATTGCATAGTCTCTTTCCTGAACTTCATTCAGGCGAGACAAAAAGTGAGTCTTTGAGTTGATTTGGTGAGATTTGAGTGTACTTACCTCCTGGGTAGGTACTCAGAGACACCTGGTAGTGGGACATCGCGTCGTCTAAAAACACTCTCTTCCAGGAGATAAAGAGGACGTTAGGATCCATCAAGTAATCAGTGTCTTTCCTGGCATAAGATCTGGCAAGATCTTTTATCTGGAACAAAAACGTATTTCATTCAGGTACTTTGACAATATTGAAGGAATGATTGGCTGAAGAGGTTTGATAAAACTGCAATTACGGCTTGTGTATTCTCAATGATCTCACATTATTAGAAGAAAGAGCACTGTTAAAGAACCAAAGAAAGGATATATTGCCAGGTTTTGTCAGATTCCATTTGTACATCTGACTCTCTAATTCTCATACCTTTGCACCTCTGACTGTTGATATTTTTGGTGGTGTGATATCCGGGGTGATGCCATCTGATCTGAACACTGCGTATGTAGTAGGATTATACCAGGCCCTGATGAACACATGATACGTGACTCCCTTCTCCATCTTGTGATCTATAACAGATATTAACATTAGTTTCTTTGCTTCTTGTACACAACAAAAAAAGGGGGGGGGGGAAAGCAAGGTCAGGGTGACATTCTGCTCATTTTATAAGAAACTTTAATAACCAATCAGTCCCTGTTGTGCCCTAAACCGCCCGAGCAATATATGGATTATGGATCGATTCATCAGGGAACAGATACAATGCAATACAGGGTGAGTAAAAAAAACAAAACCCAAATAGCAGGACAAATTTTTGAATGAAGTTTTGCCTGTAACACTTTCAAAATCTAGGATATCAAAGCCCAGTAATTAAGCTTTCTTTTAGTACAAGAATAGTTCAAATCACTCATGTACTTTTCAAGTCACGGGATGTTTAACACAAACTCTGTTTTAAAGTTCTGTCCAAGGATCGCAAACACGTATATTCCTACAGCAAGACGAAAACGATTCTCATGAATCGTTGTACATGAATTGTTTTCGTTTTACTAAAAGAACACTTTTTGTGATCTGTGGATCAATTTAAAATGGTGTTTGTGTTCAAAATTCCGTAACTTGAAAAGTACATGAGTGATTTGAATGATTTTTTTGTACTAAAAGAAAGTTCAGAGATTCAGATTTCATATCCTAGATTTTGAAAGTGCTACAGGCAAAACTTCATTCAAAAAATGATCCTGCTATTTGGGTTTCGTTTTTTTACTCACCCTGTACAATTTAGTACATTATGTACAACATTTATTAAAAAACTTCTTTTTTTTTCATTATTTATAACGTTGACTTATAAATTGGACGGATTTCATTACCTTCATCCAGTGTGATGATAGTTTGGTTGTTTTGTCCAATATCATACCATAACCTATCCTGAACTGGATCAAAGATTCCCACAGGATCTGATGAAGAGTCATCACCAATGCTCCATTCGAACCTGCAAATATTATAAATTCATAAATTTCTACGACAGTCTACCCAATCCTATTGGTAGACAGCCAGTCACGTGGCCGGCTTTAAACGGTTGATAAAGACCAGCTGAAATTTCACATGAAATTTGGACTCCTCTAAAATCTGGTGCCAGTACAGTTTTATTGGTTGAACGTTCACAATCCTCATGCATGCATGCGCAATACCACAAGTGAGTCAGTATTTCATAGTCCTAAATTCACACTACACAAGCACAGCTGCATTCTGCGTCACATCACGCAGTACACGCGGTACACGCGCGCCAATCTCCATATAAGGAGTTTTTTTTAACTTCTCGCGAGAGGGCCATACCATAGCATAGCTAGAGGGGTGTTTCGAAAAACATGAAGTAAAGTTGTTGGAAAGATCTTACAGACCTGAGTCCTTACAGTCCTGCAATTATATCATAAACGTCAATCATAGAACGACATATCAAAAACCCCTTTAAGGAGCAGTGGCCACCACTATTAAACTGGGTAAAAGTTTACCAAGTATCAATTTCTAAAGATGCATAGTCACTCAAGAATTATATAGTAAATGGTTCACAGATATCAATTCCATAATCGATATAAATCACATGTCTCACCACTTAATATCCAGTCCTTTCTGCTCAGTGACTCGCCATACTGCAGCAGCTATAGACTGAGTGGCGGTATCATCAATATCAATCACATTATTGATATCATCATTCATCAGATCCAATACATCCAAAACTTCTATCTCAGTGTTGGGGTTACCTTCAAGTCATCGTAAAAGAATGGGTCAAGACAATCAAAATAACATAACAGTTTAACAGCACTGGTTTGAATCCTGCTTAAATAGTTATCAAGCTGCATGTCATCATTTCCTTACTATCATAACTGATGTTTATCACTTTTCTGCTTAAAGATGTTTGCTCACATCTCTAAAACCCACGCCTTTATCAACCTCGTCCCCAGTGCTTACTTTATTTCCAACCTCGTTTCCAATAGTAAACCCTGGATAGGAAACTCTGTACTTGTGCTCTGATTGGACAACGACAACACAATATTAGCATATGTTCCATATTCATAAATCTATAAGAATTACACCGTACAGTTGGTGACTTCTTTTTAAGCTCGTTAAAAGTTAAGTTAGATTGCGCGCGAAATAGTCTGAAAGTCACACACGGTAGGCCTACAACTTTTCTAGCCCAGAAAGTCTTGCCGAGTTTCTACAATGGCGACGCCCAGTCCCTGTAAAACTAAAAGTACCCCAGTCAAATCTGATACTTGCATGCTGTGCTCCAAAAGGGACAAAAATGGAACGCACTTATGGGGAGTCATTGGACGAAAAAAGAATTTCCCGCAATTGCTGTCACAACTCAACGTACCCGTTCCGGGTTTGAGCGACTTGGTTGGTGACATACTCTGCCGAAGTTGTGGAACGAAGGTGCACAAAATGGTTACGTTTTTGGAGGAGGCACGTGTGAACATCGCTAAAATGACACTAAGTCGTACCAGTCGTAGCAAACGGTTCCTGACTTCTCCTGCTCAGAGTGTTCCTACTGCGAAACGGCGGATTTTTTAGCCAAACACCGGTGCCCAGGCCCGCGCCCGTCCCCCAAGGCCAATTGCCCCGAAAGCCTGCCCATCGTCGGAAGCGGCAAGTCCCAGGCCTTTGCCTCATAAGTGCGCAACTTATGGGCAAACCACAACGAAGACTGGTCTCGCACGGGTATGGGATTTTTTTCTTGGATTTATTTACATTTATATTAACTCTCAAGGCCTACCTTAATAATTGCTTGTGTTGTGCTTTTATTTTAATTTGATAACGATTGATTATTAATATTGATGATACATTGACATTGTTTATATCTGCACCTATCAAATTCCCCCTGCCCCCCTCCCCCGGCTCTCCCACCTCCCCTCCCCCCATTTTGTAACTTCAAAAGTGACAATCCCCAACGTCTTGGGTGGGGCAGCCCGGGGGGGGGGGGGAAGATGGAGGAAACAATTGATGAGTGCATAGTGTGTGACATGTTAATGACCTTGGCGCCAACTTTTTTTTAAATGGGGTGGGGGAGGGAGGGGGAACTGAATTACAGGCATGACAGGGGACAATGCCTATAGTCACTACAGTTTGGAAGATCCTAGTTAATTACACTTTGAAATAGAATTCTGAATCTGAATATGGAAACATTTTTTTATTTGGAAACAAACAATTTGCAAAGTGTTGTCCTAAATCATATTTCTGTAGATGTCTAGTTAATCATGTAAAACAAAAGGCAAAATTTGCATTGAGTTCATCCAAAAAACTTGCAGCTTTTGCAGAACAACTTTTCTCAGGATCAAGGGTCATGAAAATTTGATCTTTTGATTTCCCCTGGTTAATAAACTGCTGAGTGCCTCACAATAATGGTGGAGCACTAGTGAGTCAGTCACATGGAAGTTGTTGATACCCGTGTCAATAACAGTATTATGCAGTTGCCTTTTTAATCAATTTTGACATCCTTTTTCTCTTCATTTCATTCAATTTCAGTACACAAGTTCAAATCAGCGCTTGCTGAGCTTGGAAGAATTCAACGGCTAGAGATCCAGACTCCATTGCAAACGTCATGTGGGGGATAAAACCCATACAGAGTGCAGTGAAGCACTTGAGTCTGGCAGAGGTGAAAGCAAACTGCTGCAGTCTGCAGCGTTGTTCCATACTCAGGAAATGCGACTTCTCAGATCATTCCAACTTCAATTGGAGAGACATCCTCCAGGAGATGGATAAACAGTAGGTGGCATCAGTTCTCTTTGTCATCCCTATGTACACCCCTCAACAAATAATGCATGATATGTTCCTGTTAGAACTAGAAGGAATTGATAAAGAACAGATCAACTCTGTAACCCAACCCACCCAACAAACATGTGAACATTTAAGCACTTCCTTTTAAATGCTGACTCAGTTCAAGTTAATTCGAAATTTCTATTGTGTTGTAAAAACTGTACAGAAAACTGCCAACTCAGTCACAGGCATATACATATATTATACTTTAAATAAAACTCACAAAAGTGAAAAATAATTGCAGTAATGTACATTTCAGGTGTCCATTTCTACTTGATGTCCTTGTGACAACAGCTAGTGATGATTCACATGTCTTCGAGGATGCCAAAGTACCGGTTATCTGCATGGCATATGGAATGCTGTTGTACCAGAGGAGTTGTCGCATTGGAAGACTGCAGCAGCTGTTCACGATCCTTTTAAGTAGATCAGCAGCCAAGAAGGAGGTCAGTTTGTTTGTTTGTTTTTCTGAAATCAATTGCCGATAAAATCACTTAGTTTTATTTTGAAATTCTGTTGGTGACAACTGCATGAAGCTGTATAGTTCTGTGCAGTAAATGAAACTTTGGGAATATGGGAAATAGTTGCTAAGTTGTAATTATTGGTAAAAGAGATCACTTTCACACAATGCTAGGACTATTTCAGTCAATTTTTTCTTCAATTTCTGTTATTTTATATTAACACCAGCGACCATGGTAAATTCTAACAAAACCCCAGAGTGAGAGTATTCTTCATGTAATGTTATGCAAGCTTTTCCATGACACTCAAGTGGAAATATTCAAGATGGAAAATATTATAACTCCTGCAGCAGGCACTTTGTTTTCAATAATGAACACAAATAAAATCCACAAATGAAATATGCTTTTTGCCCCCAAAGCCTGAGACACTGTGGAGGACCCCCCCCCCCCGTCCCCTTCAAGTGGTGCTTGTGTAAAATGGTGGGTGAATTTCTGAAAACCATAATTCTACCTCCATGGTTATACAGTCTGTACAAAAGAAATCCACACTGAAAACAGCTACATGTATTTGAAACCTTACAGTCAAGTCTTGTTAATTCAAATTCAAAATGTTTTTTTTTAATCCAGAATTTTGTATTAAGAGGATCATCAGCCCCAGATCAAGGCTTTACATTTACTTTATCCAAATCTTAATAAGTCATTCAATCATACAGGGTTTTTCTTCAATATTTATTTTCCAAACAGATCTACAGGGAGTTTCAGCGGGTGGGAGTATGCCAGTCCTTCACACAAAAAGATGTGCTGCTGAACAAAATCGGTGGTCATTTCAACGAGGAAGCAATGGAACTGGTCAAGAAGGGAAGCAAATTCCAGATTATTGGAGATAACTTTGACCTCCGGGTTCTGCGACATGACATGACGAAGGATGCAAAGAACATTGACTTACATTACTTTGCAAGCACCATTGTATTTGACAGGATATCATTTGAACTGCCTGATGACAAACCAACCCGACCACTCCAGCAGTGTCCCATCTCATCTTTCGTGCCTAACGAGGATGAAATCAACACACTGAAGAAGAGCTACAAGATTCTGGTGGCAAGAGACATTGTCGAGTGCTGTCCTGCATTGGCTTTCATGAAGTCGGTCATACCACATCACATCAAGCACAAGTACAGTGACATTACAAAGGAGAAGAGTGCCCTGTTTACCCAAGAGATTCTCCCATGCAACGAGAATAACTATGGGGAAGTGGTCCAGATCCTTAGCAGATACGAAGAATGGGTCCAAATATATTTCGAAAAGAATCTGCAACTCCACTGGTTGAAAAGCAAACTGAAGTAAGTGTGAACAAGTTAGACGCATGTTTCGAAAGTAAAATCCTGCTGTCTCATACAAATGGAATAATCACCGGCCATGTATTTGTTACAACCACAACCCAAAACATTTTTTTTTTAAATTTTACTAAAGAAAAAATAATGACACTTACACACATAGATAGTTGATCATAATAGCTGTAAATAAGACTTGACAAATGTACAGACGTATCCAATCTATCTCGTACATATCATACATGTGCTGATTCACTGACTAAATGATAAAGTATAGTTGTTTTGGTTCAAACATAACTTAATTAGAGTGCAATTTTCCCCCACTAGCAAATACTAAGAACCTTAAGGAAATTTGGAACTTGCACAACAGTGTCTACAGTATTGTTGTTACAGGTTTTGGGTCCCTGAGGAGGGGAAAGTGTGAGGGATAGGGTGATTTTCTCTTTTTTGGAAAGGTTACAATTGAAATTGATTCAATGAGAAGTTTCTACTTTTGAGTTTTGAAGTAACCTAAATTGCATGCTTGTTCTTCTCAGGGAGATGGGGATGCGGATTTCTGCATGTTGGGAGCTGACGAGCTTACTTTCCATGATCATGTCCATACCAAAGATCTACAAGACGAGGGTGTTGTCATCTGTTCAGGCACTGACAACGTAAGTTATTGCCAAATATAAAATAATGCATGCTGCCCTTCCTTAACACACAAAAACCAAAACATTTAAATTTGGGTGTTGTATGGTGATTCTACACAAAGACTAAACCTTGAAACACAAAGAATCAACCTGTTTCTGTTGTACATGTGTGTTTGGAAGAATCATGTACACATGTACCAGCTGTGATATGGCAGCATAAAAATGTTCCTGCCCCACCCCCCTCTAAAAATGATAAAACAAGAATGTGTTGTGAAATAAAGAAATTTTTTGGGGGAAAAACATGTGCCCCCTTCTCGAAAAAAATCCTTTTGGCTTTGTTTCATCTGAAGTTGGGTCAGGGAACCAGACTACACGAACAGCACTTTTTTCTTGGTTTTCCCAGCATTATGAACACATAACTGTAAAACGGGTCAGTGTATCAACATTTGTTATAAAAAAAACTAACCCCAAATCCATCCATTCCTGGAAATTACAGCAAAAGCAAATATGGCATTTACCTTTTTTTTCTTTTCTTTTTTAAATATGTGTTACAGGAAACTGGAGCAAAGTCTGATACACCAGCTTCATGTCCGAATGTTCAGTCAAGACCAGACCAGCCAGGATCTCATATGATGCAAGTGGATCCAGCTGATCCGCTACAGCACGTCCACATTCCTGTTGGTGGTGACCAGCTGACAAGAGTCCGGCTTGCCGGGGCAAAGGATCTCAGGGCTGGAGTTCACACTGCAAGACAGCGGTTCGATCATCTGTACCCCTTCGTCTGTGAAATTTGGCATGCTAAAAAGGCTTTTTTGAATGTACGTTTTGGATTATGCATTTTCCTGTACTTTCCAAAAAGCACCCATGACAACAAAATTTGCAGCCTTCCTGACCTTGTTTTAGAAGTTTTCTAATTTTTGGATAGAAACAAAAAACGTACATTTTGTAGATGATGATGTTCCTTCTCTCGTTTTTAAACCGCTTAAATTCTTAACAATATTCTGCATTTATCTTCAAATCAAGTTGAATCCTCAATCCTAATTGGTCAGTTCATAACAATGGTGGCGATATAATTCCAAAATATCACTGCCCATATCACTCTATATCATGCATACATGTGATTACGATAACCACAGCAAAGCTCATGTTCAGTGTGCATATAATCTGTACTATTTTTGCTTGAACTGAAGATGAAGTTTTTATCCCACTTGCAATCACTGAAAATGATGTGTGTTTATGTTCCAAATGCCATAAGCCTGAATACTTTCTTAAAAAAAAACCAAGTATCTTTCCACGCCCACAGTATGGGAAAACTCACTTTTTTATTGAACCTTTAAAATACCCTTGCATTCCCACTTCTAACAGATTGTTTGCTTTCTTTTTTTACACAAATATTTTCAGATGGCTTTCGATGTGCTGTTCAGCAACAAGTCAGCTCACGATGTAGGTACTCTGAAGTACTTTCGGGAGAGGATTGGAAGGCGCAATGTGACAACTCCTGACAAAATTATGAAGCGTGTGAGCAGCTGTTTCTGACTGTTGGCAAGGGATACCTTCGGAATGCTGCTTGTCAATTCTAGGGAATGAAAGACATCTCATCTGAACCTACCCAGCACATCCCTACAAAACTACAGCGAGAACGACAAGCTCACACAGAGCTGTATTTTGATAAGGTTATTACTGAATTTGTGGATCAGTATGTACTAGTCAGTCATGAGTCTGAGCAGATGATAGTTGCCAAAGATAGATTGGTTCAGTGCAGCAGAGTTGCCCTTGATCATAATTACACAGTAAGACAGCCTGAAGATAATGCTGAAGTGGTGGTTGAGAAGGTGAAGGAAAACATACAAGTCACTGCACACACGTCCCAGATCACTAACCCTCCAAAACCTCCTCCCACTCCGAATCTGCAACCGTCTTCGGTAAAAGTGTCAAAACCTGATGATGAAACACCATCACCTTCACAAACGGTAAATCGTTTAGATGGAGTTAGATCTTATGGGATGTGTTTGCTTGACATGTATGTGTTTCTCCGACAAATGATTGACACAACTAAAGAAGGAGATGGAAGTCGACTCCTGATAAACATGAAAAGGCTACTTTTGTACTTCTATGCAATGGGTCAGAAAAAGAAAAAATATGCTCTAGAAACGCTAGTTGCTATTGCTCAGGTGGAAGCACTTTTAACTCCCCAAATGGCCCAAAGAGTTTTGTGGGGACGTTTCTGTAGTATTAGAGGAGGTCCTGGCAACAATATGGAGTGTGATTTAATGCAAGAGATTTACAACAGAGAAGGCAAGAAACAAATACAGTGCATGGGACCAAATAAAACTGTGAAAGCTATCCAACGAATCTCAAAAGCGCAAGCAGGTCTGCAGAAAATTTCTGAGAATTTTGCTGGTAATACCAGTGTACACAATTTGTCAGTGAAACACACTCATAGGTCAGCTGCAAAGGATGAATACCAGGTCATTAAAGATTTGAGTAAACTACAGCCATTTAGCTTCAGGGCAGGAAGATTACACAGCACTTTCACAAAGGTCCCCTTCTGTGTGATCAATAATGTCAATCACGACAAGTTAAGCTCATGGATTCGTAAACATGTCAAATGTATCCAAGAAGGTTTATTGTAAAGGCAAACCAAAAAACACAAGTGTGCCAGTAACCTGTCCAATTTTTTTCTTATTAATTAAAATACACAAGATAGATTTTTTTTGCAAATAAAAGTTGTTTTGGTCGGGCAATGCCTTTGTGTAGCAAAGCCTACAAACATTGCAACAAACACAGATGTTAATGTTACGAAAACATTTGAACATTTGAAAAAGAAAGGAAAAAACCTTTCATGACCATCATCCCACCACAGAGTTCTTGTAAGACAAAACATTTATAAGAGCAAATAAAAATAATCAATTTGACTTTTTACACCATTAACGCCAAATGTATTAATTTTTTTCAGTGTGACTAGAAACACATTGATTGGCATCATGTAATAATCATTGTGTTCCTTGCAATTGCATAATTGGGAGCTTATCTTTTACATGTACTTTGTTTTATTTTTGGGGATTGGTTTTTGAAGGTGGACAATAAAGAGATGATACAAGACAAGTTTTTGCTAGTGTGGGTCGATCATGACGGATGTTGATTTACTTTCCATGTACAGAAAGATTGTGCAACTAGAGATGAGTTTGTGGACAAACACAAGCTGTTTCGGATATTCGAAATACTCTGTGCACGTCATGAACAATCAGTGACGTCACTAAAAATGTCATTTATAACAGCACATTATACGTACATGTCAAGTTATAACCAAATCGAAAATGTAAGTCTGTAAATATAGGCCTATAAAGAACAAAATGCCCCTTTAAGGGACGTCACATGACATTTGATGATGACATCACATGACATTTGATGATGACATCACATGAATTTGTCTATAACCCATCTCGGCATTGGTACGATCGCGAATTTCTTCTAGGACCATCTGTGGGTGATAGTCTAAGTGTGTACCAGGTCTAACGTCGATCGCATAATTTACAAAAGTGCCAAAGTAGAGTGTTTTAAAACGTGTACAAACCCTATGGGGAAAAATGCATCTTTAATGTGATGTAACCCAACACCTGATGACGTCACGATCACGAATTTCTTCTAGGACCATCTGTGGGTGGTGGTCTAAGTATGTATCAAGACTGAGGTCGATCGGATTTACGAAGGTGCCAAAGTGGATTGTTTTAAAACGTGTACAAAACATATGGGGAAAAACGCATCTTTAATGTGACGTAACCCAACACCTGATGACGCCACGATCACAAATTTCTTCTTGGACCATCTGTAGGTGGTGGTCTAAGTATGTATTAAGTCTGAGGTCGATCGCATTTATGAAGGTGCCAAGGTGGAGCGTTTTAAAACGTGTACAAAACATATAGGGAAAATGTGCATCTTTAATGTGAAGTAACGTGACACCTGATGACGTCACGATCTCGAATTTCTTCAAGAACCATCTGTGGGTGATGGTCTAAGTGTGTACCAAGTGTAACGTCCATCGGATTTACAAAAGTGCCGAAATGGAGCGTGTTAATACATGTACAAACCCTATGGGGAAAAATGCATCTTTAATGTGACGTAACCTGACACTTGATGACGTCACGATCACGAATTTCGTCTTGAACCATCTGTGGGTGGTGGTCTAAGTATGAATTAAGTTTAAAGTCGATCGGATTTACGAAAATGCCAAACTGGAGTGTTTTAAAACGTGTACAAAACATATGGGGAAAAATGCATCTTTAATGTGACGTAACCTGACACCAGATGACGTCACGATCACAAATTTCTTCTAGGACCATCTGTGGGTGGTGGTCTAAGTATGTACCAAGTCTGAAATCAATCGGATTGAAAAAAGTGGCAAAGTCGACTGCCAGAAGAAACGTGTGTTAAACCTATGGAGAAAAAGTCTGAAAAAGGAGAAGAAAAAAAAAAAAAAAAACTAGAAATGTGTTTGTGGACAAACACAAGCTGTTTCGGATATTTGAAATACTCTGTGCACGTGATGAACACTTGATGAAGTCACTTCGAATGTCATCTGCCAAGTGAAAAGTCAATCAGACATACAGTGCCAAAGTACATGGTTTGAAGAAAAACGTGTACAAAACCTATGGGGAAAATGCATCTTTAATGTGAAGTAACCTTACACCTGATGATGTCACGATCACGAATTTTTTCTAGGACCATCTGTGGGTGGTAGTCTAAGTGTATACAAAGTCTAATGTCGATCGGATTTACCAAAGTGCCAAAGTAGAATGTTTTAAAACGTGTACAAACCCTACGGGGAAAAATGCATCTTTAATGTGACGTAAACCAACACCTGATGACGTCACGATCACAAATTTGTTCTAGGACCATCTGTGGGTGATGGTCTAAGTGTGTGCCAAGTGTAAAGTCCATCGAATTTATGAAAGTGCCAAAGTGGAGTGTTTTAAAACGTGTACAAAACATATGGGGGAAAATGCATCTATAATGTGACGTAACTCGACACCTGATGACGTCACGGTCACGAATTTCTTCTACAACCATCTGTGGGTGGTGATCTAAGTATGTATCAAGTCTGAGGTCGATCGGATTGACGAAGAGGCCAGCGTGGAGTCTTTTAAAACGTGTACAAAACATATGGGGAAAAATGCATCTATAATGTGACGTAACCCGACACCTGATGACGTCACGGTCACAAATTTCCTCTAGGACCATCTGTGGGTGGTGGTCTAAGTATGTACCAAGTCTGAAATCGATCGGATTTAAAAAAGTGGCAAAGTGGACTGGCTGAAGAAACGTGTGCTAAACCTATGGAGAAAAAGTCTGAAAAAAAAAAAGCAAAAAAAAGAAAAAAAAAAATCTTAACGAAAACAAGAGCTGTTTCGGTGTGTCACCGAAACAGCTAAAAAGAAAAAAGAAAAAAAAAATCTTAACGAAAACAAGAGCTGTTTCGGTGTGTAACCGAAACAGCTAATTACAACATTTCATGCAAATCCTACTGTGAGTCGCCATCATCATATAGGAGGTTGAGACATAATTCCATATCACATTCAAGGCATGGACATTTCTCTGTGTGACACTTGGCTTGTACCCGAAATGTTGAAGAATAGTTGCTCTCCTGCATTTATCTCCTCGGCATAATTCCCGCATAATTTGTTGCATGCCTGCCTTGTTCTTTGCTATATCTGAACCGTTGAAGTACATAGTGGCTGTGGCTGGACAACCATCACGTCCTGCACGTCCTGTCTCTTGAAAGTAAGCTCTCATTGTATGTGGCACTCCAATGTGTACAACATGGCGAATACTTGGGGCATCTACACCCATCCCTACTGCACATGTTACAAACACAACCCTGCATGTGTTCTGATGTGATGACAGTTGCTTGAGCAGAACTTGTTTCATTTCTTCAGTTTGGGGCGCATGATACTGACCAAACAATCTGTGATCTGGACCAGCACATGTTTCTGGATAGTACTGATGAACTCCAAGTACATTTTCAAATAGCCTGTGTGCATAGCTGCAGTACTTTAGTTTCATGTAAATGATAGTGGATGGATAACAGATGCGTTCTTCAAGCAACTTGATGGCTATTGGATAGAGTATGTCGTAGTAACTTTGAACACCATGGGTAGAGGACAATCGACTCTTTACGGCATACATGATGTTTTCTCTGTCGGGGTTCCTGCTAATAATTACTGGCTTCTTCAAGCAAAGTGATTTAATTATGGCTTCTCTGTAATCTTGGGGAGCGGTTGCCGTCATTGCAGCTGTTGGAGTATGTGGAAATAGGCTAGCTAAAATGGCTAACTTTGCAAAGTCCTGTCTAAAATCCAGACCCCATTCTACTATGCAATGTGCTTCATCTACCACCGTAGCAACCACGGTATTTTGGATTGCATCAGACAGTAAATAGGGACGAGATGACACAACTGCTTCAGGATGGGCATAGACAATATTTGCTTTGCGTAGTTGCTCCTCGGTGCTCCCAGCAATACAAACATCTGTAGATGAAATGCGCTTTGTCTCTTCTTCTTCTTCTTCATCACTTTGATGATCAGGACAAGACCCAGTCATATGACCACGAAGAATACCAACTTGGACCCCAATGCTAGAAAGTTTTGAGGCTTGATCTTGAACTATGGCATTCAGAGGAGTGACTACCAGAAGTTTTGGATTTTTTATGTTTAGTTTATGTCCAAGCATATAAACAGCTAGCTGATAAATAAGGCTTTTGCCATAGCCTGTGGGAAGAATGACAAACACATCATGTCCATTGAACAGTTCCCATAATGCCCGACACTGTGCAGGTTTGAGATTAACACTGAGCTGTAACTGATTTACTGCATATTGCACCGAGGGCCAAAAGCTGTTAATTTGCCAGGATGACATTGTAGATGCCGGCAACTCCATGCAACTGATCGAGGAGAGAGCCATCAAATGTAGATTTTACTTGTACTTGTACAGTAGTTTAGCAGTAGTAGCCCCCCAAAAATGCCTAATCTAAATAATGTTAGCAACCTGAACTGTCTCTGTCTGACAGTGACATTGTCTGAGTTACACTCATATTAATATGTCATGTACTATTTACTAATAGAGTGTCCAGTACACTACCACGTAATAAATAAGTAAACAAGAGGAGATGTGAGGTGCAGTACTGAAGTGACGATGTCTGGTTAAATTTCTGTTCACAAGTTGTCGATATAAATATAGATTCGCCTCTTTTTACCTTTGTTTTCAACATCAGCAATCGGCAACGATTGATTTGCACACCGAAGACTACATGGCCGGCCTTGTATTGCATGAATTTTCCAATCAAGTTATTAAATCTAGTTCCAGACCACACAGACTACGTTATGAATGCGACGAAGATGCGAAGTTCAATTCGGAACCAGACTATTACGTGCGCCCAGAATACATCGCCCACAGGGAGACTAATTTACATACGTGTGCAAAAATCTTGCACATGCAAATGATCCAATACCAGGGTGAGAGAGCAGATAGTGATGGGCGCGTACTGTTCGACACCCTGGGTACGAGGTTGCGCCTTTATCATCATCATCTCACAAAATTGTCATACTTTGTCATCAGTTGGCATGTTACTTTTCAGCTTTGGTTCATGGAAATACATGTACACTGCGAAAAAAAGCGTCTCTGCTAACTATAAAGCTTGACTATGGGCTCAGTGCACCAACAAAAGAGGGCGCGTTTTTGCCACTTTTCAGAGCATCGTGGACAGGACACACAGCGTGTGCATACTGTACTGTACTCTACTGGTTAGAGCACAAAGTGTGCACGACTTCCTGAACGTGCCAAAGCTATTAGCCACAGTGTCTTCGCGTGAGCGTCAGGCGTAGTCAGCGCGTGAATACAATCAAATTTTACTTGCGATGGTCTCCCCGACTAATCCCGCCCCCAATATCTTTGGATCATTCAAAATACGCAGTGGATGGACTAAGAACCGGCCCCCAACTCTACTTTCTGTCTGTTGAAAGGGTACTTGTGCATGGAGCCCATGACAGACTGAGGGTAACCGAGAACCTTGTTCTTGGATCTCCATCTAGTTCTAAGGATTAACACATTAGTCTCTGTACCGCCCAAAAGTGCCGGACTTGTCAATTCTTTATACACCCCTCAACCACCCCAACACTCTATGGTGTCAAGGATTCAATGAGTAAACACGGTTTAATACCAGGTTAAACAAATGAAATTTTTTAAACTCATAATGATGATTTGTGCCAATAGTTGCTACCCTTGGTAGCAATTTTCAGCACAAATCCTTGATTCATTTCCAAGATATTAGCCTCCAAAAACCCTATAAATTTATGCGTTTGCGAAAGTGGGCATGGCACCAATCTTTGTTAAGGCCATATCTCAGAAACCCTTAGGAGATGGTGCTTAAATTGTTGCATGTGTTCATTATACACAGAAAGGTACTTCTAGGTTTTTTTAAGCCAAATCCGAGTCGATTGCCATATAGGACCTCTGGTTGGAGTGAATATGGAATGGCCTATACACCTAAACTTACTGTGAGTGACATCAGTGCAAGACTGGTCTGGATTACATGCTCTATCAATGGGTGCACACGCACAATGGCCCTTGCATGTTGTAGGGAAGCAGCGTCGCAGCAGGACAAGGGAGCCCTCGTCTGGTAGAGTAGGAGTGGCTTCGAAAGTGGAATGATGGCGGCTGCTTGGTATCCCAACCTAGAGAGATATTAAAAACAATATGAATTCAAAAAGTAGTTTATCTTTTTATACTTTCATTGATCAAGTTACAACCAAACCTCTTCCTAGAATGAGACAAAGTTTTTATGACCAGTAACATCTTTTCACGAGATGAATCTGCGTCAGGGTGATGTAAATCAATATAAGGTTTTGCCCATTTAACATCTTAAAGGAAGGGTAGATCATTTGTCATTTGTGCATTTTTTCGTTTGAAGCAACGAAAGTGCTCAAAAACTAAAGACAGGTGCTTAACAACTAACCTGATGAAGTTTTAGCTCTATGAATGCTGTGCACTCAGAGAAAACAATATTCTAGAATCTCGGTTTCAATTCTAAAGTTGCTGAGTCATGTTTAAATTGCGCACGAAATCAGCATGCGGCACACGTTCTCTTTCAGGCTACTGCAGCTATACGTGATGTCGCGTACTGAGCCGATGAATAATAGCAACCCCGCGCAGGTGTGCGTCGTGTCAACACTTGCAAAATGTGACATTTGGCTCATCCTTGGAAAATGACCTTCTTTTATTATTTTCTTCATAATGACAGCAAGCAAGAAGGAACCATTTCGCAGGGAGTTGTAATAGTGCCATTACTATCATTAAACCAAGTAAGCTTGTCAACAACAATTCAGTCAGTTACTTTTTGGATAGCTGCAAATGATCTACTCTACCTCTAACTGGAGTTGATCAACCTCGGCTTTCACCATTTGGTATTGTTTCATGTTGAATGGAGAATAAATGTTAATACAAATATTGTGATTTGTTTCACTTTTTAAAATATGACCAAAAATTTAAATACTCCACAAGTTCTCCTCAGTTCATACATGATTATTTTAATAGAGACCTCAAAGGAATGTATCCTTTCATAAATTATGAAAAGATACATTCCTTTGAGGATTATGATAATGTCAAATATTTTCCAAAATGGCTGATCTCAATTTGAACTGAATCTATAAAATTGCACGATGGCTCCAGATGACTTGAGACCAATTACAAGTAACATTTCAAATGAATGTTACACTTGCAAATCAGAGGTTTTACACTTTTCCAACCAAACGTGTTTTAATCTACATTTGTAAAGATTCATAACAATTACAACTCATTACCCCATTAACAGCCCAGATGGAGATGCAGAGATACAGATGAGATGGGTCTGTTATACTGCCCTCTAGTGGTATGATGGCTGTCTGTGCGATGCCTTCATCCAATGACATGCCGTCATTGCTGTGGTTTACACGAACCGGTCCATTCTTAGGAAAACAAAATTGTCATTTACTTCACTTTTGACACACAAGAGTTCCATAAACTGAACAAAATATAACATTCTCGAAAACCACACAAAACCAGAATTGGATAGTTCAAAAGAGTCATCTAGAGCAAAGAGCGCTTCAGATTCTTGCAATTAACAGAAAACTTGACATAGAAAACTGAATCAAAGGGCAAGTTTGTGCAAGAACTACTGTTAACCATAGTTCGAATAAGTTAACCCGAACTCTGTCTACTGGACGATGGTTGGACTACGCTAGTAAAATATTTGGAACCAGCCTACTGGGGCTGGTCGCATCACTGGTTATCAGTAGCCTCGTTTTGTTACTTAAGTGCAGAGGGAACCATTGACAAAAGGTTAAACCGTAGCGAGTTGTACTACCCACTGGTGGGCCTCGGAGATATCTTCCGGTTCATTCAACAGGTCAAAGAACGTAAACAATCCATACATACTCGTGACCGCCATATGTTGACAATGGTTTGACTAGAGTCGTTCGCACTTTAATGTTACAGCGCATGCGCCCTGTTTGATACCAACCAACCATTGGTTGACCACAATGGTTGTTGTGCAAACTTGCCCAGAGATGCAACAAACAGAACACATCAATGAAAGTTCAAATACAATTGAATAAAATGGTCAACAAATGATTAACACTTTTTTTTGGGGGGGGGGCAGATCAATGTTGAACTATTTATGCAATTATTTGAAAAATTTTCATTTGTCAATAACAGCCATATAATGCTGGACCTGGAATTCCAAATAAAGCATAAAGGTACCGGAGTGAGTTCAGTGCCGCTGTACGTGCGTCCGGCAGAGACCAAGTAGTGGCTGATACCAGAGTGTACATCAGCAAATCCCAGCCAGGCAAGGGCTAAGGAACCAGGGATGTACGGGGGTCTTCAAGCCACGTCATCCAGCCAGAGTGGTGGCGTGGAGGAGATGGGGTGGTCGGTGGACTCTCCGTGGTAGAGCTGATTGAGTCGGTGGCGTAGTCTGTTCCATCAGGCTGTTTTGGAGGTTAGTATACAGGGTGGTTAAAAACACTTTTGAAAGCAATTTTCACCAACTTAATGAACTTATTTTAAATATCTTATCACATAGTAGTAAAGTATAGGCCTTTAACTATGCATGGTGAAAAAAAAGCTTAGTAAAAGTCGCAAAAATAGTGATTATTATGCTAATTTGAATACAAGTCACCAAAATCAGTCTTGTCCACGGGTTATTCCATGTACATTTGACGTTTTCGTAGTTCATAAAAATTAAAGAGGTTGTGGAATGCTCGAAGACATTTCCGTCATTTTTCGGGTATATGTAGCCTAAGGTGTGATGAAACAAAAACGACTATTGTTTCTGTCATGAAATGAGTACAAAAGGTACTTTTGAGAGCTGTTTTTCAGGTCCAGTTTCGACCTGAACGTTCAACTGTGTAAAAGTCGTCGTTGCGGGCAGCAAACAAAACACAGTAAATCGTGACGTAATAAACAGGACTCCCGATGCACAGTAGCATACACGAGTCCTGTTTATTACGTCACGATTTACTGTGTTTTGTTTGCTGCCCGCAACGACGACTTTTACACAGTTGCACGTTCGGGTCGAAACTGGACCTGAAAAACAGCTCTCAAAAGTACCTTTTGTACTCATTTCATGACAGAAACAATAGTCGTTTTTATTTCATCACACCTTAGGCTACATATACACGAAAAATGACGGAAATGTCTTCGAGCATTCCACAACCTCTTTAAAAAAAAACCTTCCCACCAAAATATATTTTGCCATGGTAACTTTTTTTGAAGCCGTCCAATTATTCATGTCAGTGTTAAGATCATCTACTCAATGAGCTGTCAGCTTAAGTTCACTGTTGCATAACATTACATAACATAACAATCAAATGTCATGCCCTTTCAAATAAAGCTCCAATAGCTGAGCTCAGTCAAGCGAAGGGAATGTATACCTCCATGGAAAAACAGGTTTCGCACATGAAATGTTCAAATTAGCATAGCTCAACAACAAAATGTGTAAATGCAACGATTTCTTCATCACATTTGCTTAAAGGCCAGTACTTTAATAGCTACTAATCGACAGTTAAAAATAATTTTGAAAATAAGTGAAAATTGCTGTCAAATGTGGGTGTCCTTTTTTTTTTAACCACCCTGTATGAATCATACCACAATAACTAAAAAAAAAAATTCACATTCACAAACATTTTAGCAGGATTCAAGGGACAGTTGTCTTCTTTGTGTGATTCTGACAGTCTCTGATGTAGGGCACAAGACATCCTATTATTGATTAGAGGAACTTGAGGTTCATGTGGAAACTGCCGTTGCTACTTGGAGATTTCAACATGCAAACAGCAAACCAAAACTGGTACTATACTTAGTTAAGTCTGTCAAATGCTTTCCCTTCAACAAACTTCCTAAACACTTTTTTCAATTATAAATTTCTGTATATCTTCTCATTTAAACATAACAGGTGTACTTTCTTAAGTACGAATTTTCACAAGAATTTCAATAAAACAGCAGCAACAGTGATTCAGCATTTTGTCTTCTTTTATTCACTGAAAGCTAAATGCTATGAAAATTCTACAAAACTGTCAAAGACTGAACAGTAATATCATAAACTCACAGTTTCAGCCGGTTCAGTTGGATCAATCCAGATGATGTGATGACGCTGCAAGTTAGCAGCACTCTCTGTGCCAATGGCAAAAGTCACAACAGAAGGTGGGCTGCCATCAACCTGAGGAAGAGAAATGATACAAGAAATGATGGTACAGTGCCATCTTACTAATGAGAGAACTAGTTAAAAAGGATTATGGGTGGGGATAAATTAAGACATCAATAACACTGCAGACATATCTAAAGTAAACATCTTAGACAGAGACGCATGATACTTCGAAAGGGGGATGAAGGAGGCAGCCTACATAAGAGCCTTCAAACTTTCTCTGGACCGGGGGAGGTACAAACTCCCAGGAGTCTATGACCCGGTGTTGGGATCACGTGTCTGTAAGATCAAGAATGCAACATCCGGGTCATCCTGCTGATAGAGACCAAGGTTTCGGTCAAAAAATTTCAGGTACAAAATTTTCTAGTGATGTGATCACAAGTTTACCTCTAAATTGTAAATAACACAAATGGTAATAATGACGACTGATGACAACAGAGATAAGCAGTCTATGGCATGTGTGTATGGCAACTCAAAGAACTGAATCGATCACTCTGATGGATGGAAAGGTCTACCAGAGATTAAATGTAGAAGTACTAAAATCTGTCATGAAAGGTCAAGTTGGTGGAGGTACATGTGTGGTTATGATCAGGGATTGTGAAGTGGATGTCACTTACCAAAAAGGATTCCGTATTGGCCTGAGTGCAGAGACCAGCAAAGTTACAAGCCACTACGGTAACGATGTAACGACTGCCTTCATGTAATGTCAGATTGGTGAAGGTGTAGTCCAACTCACTCCCTGCAATCTTCAAATGATACCAGAATCAGATCCATTAAGTTGCTGCTAATAAACATACACTGCAATCCAATTCAGACAAACAGCGGAATGCGAAGTGACAAATGGTCGACCTTCCAACTGTCAAAAAGGTGGAACGGCTGTACAAGGGTGTTTAAAAAAAAAAGGCAACCCAAATGTAAACTACAAAATTAATGTAAACTACAAAAAAAACCTAATATTTTCAGATAGGTTAAAAATCATGTAAAACACCAATGTGTCCTCTTTCCAATGATACCTTGATTGTGTGTCTGGGGCCACGGATGACTGAGCAATCATTGTTATTCTGTCAAGGGTCAAAACCTGCACTGGGCCAAGTTTGTGAAAAAGAGTACCTGGTACTCTGGGTAACTGGTATTCTGGGCACGTAGAACGGCTTTATTTAAAGAAAGAATGCATCCTGTTCTTTAAAACAATTTATATAGCACGTGAAGTTTACCCCTCATGGCCCGATGCCTTCAACGTGGCCGCCACCTCTTTCCACCCAAAGCTCTGCATGAAGTCTAGTCCATTTCAACCCTTGCACAACAAACCAGCCAGCAATCTTAATAGCTAGGTAAAACTTGGCCCAGTACAGGTTTTGACTCTTGACAGAATAACGAATGCTCAGTCATCCGTGGCCACAGACACATAATCAAGGTATCATTGGGAAGAGGACACATTGACATTTCGCATTATCTTTAACTTATTTGAAAACATTTATTAGATTTGTTATAATTGACATTTACATCTGGGTTTCCTTTTTGATACACCCTGTATGTATTTAAAATTGTTACCTAGACCGATTGCACATTATGTTGGTTATATTTGGTAAACTTAGCTCACTCTTTGTACTTTCATTTTCACCTCTCCCATCTCAACCCATGAATATTTTTATACAGATAAAAACTTTACCTTTATTGATGGAATATTCACATCTCCATTGTGATGTGTGCTGACTGATACGTACTGGTCTTTAATACCACTTTCAGGGTCACTGAACTTCCAGGAAAAGTGAATCAGATCCCGCAGAACCTAAACAAAGAATGTTACAGGTTAATTTCAAATAGAGATTTGAAATCGCAAAAAAACCAAAAGCAATTTTATCACGGATAAATGCAAGACTAATCTTGTTTAACCAGTTTGAAGCCGGGTTTATTTTGACAGTGACAGACCCAGGCGTGGGATTATTTCTCACAAGCCTCGATGCCAGACGGGTTCAGGCCAAATGTGCAGGTAGCACACCCTGAGATATCCGGCCTTGCTCACTGCGAGCGGGTCGCTGACAGATATTTCCGGCCTCACTCGTTGCGGGTTTATCTGTCATCCAATCTGAATTTCAGAAAACTTTTGCGTGTATAGGCCTACACATCCTCTGGCACTAACTGGTTAAACATAAACACAAAAGGTTTCTAATTTTATCCTCTCTTGTCTGCAGAATATGTCTCTGAAAATAGGGGGCATGGAAATCCTTCGGTCCCATGAGTCTAGAGTTAGTTATATGGGAAAATGTCCAATTATGGTTTATTGAAAATTTGTTATAACAAGCAGCATCCTCTCTGAGTTATGCCCATATATTTCCCATGTTTGCAGTGTTGCTATGTTGCTAGCATCATGGCATGTGGTGTGATCCCTGGCAACATGGCATATACTGGTTTATGGCTTCTGACAAGCCCCCTTTGAACAAAGATATTGGGAAAATGGAGAACCACCAAAATAGGGCAAGATTGCTCAGTTGGTAGAGCACCGAATAGCAATTTGACGATTGCAGGTTCAAACCTGCTCCAAGTTTTGTTCAATTTTTTTTAAATGGAAACATTTCAAAAGGAAGGATAACTTATGGACATTCTTGTGTACTTGTGTATGGTTATTATCTGTCAGTTCCTGTTGCTAAATGTTGTCATGAGATCCAAAAGAGAGCAAACGCCACTTCCCCTGCTACATGTTCCTTCTGCTTATTTTCTACTTAACCAGTTCACGCCAGGATTTTTTTTGACAAGAATGGAACCAGGTGCGGGATGTATTTTCACCTCAAGCCAGGGGGGTTGAAGCCATCACCCTCGGGCAGCGTGCACTCATATTTCCGGCCTCGCTCGCTGCGAGCGAGTCACTGACAGAAATTTCCGGCCTCGCTCCCTACATGTTTATCCGTCATTCATTCCGAATACCACAAAACTTTTGCGTACATACACGGCCTCCAGCGCGAATGGGTTAATAGTCTATTCAGTGCAATGCAAGTACAGGGTTGTCCAAGATGTAGAATGAAACAAAATGGCCGTTTTTAATTGTGAATCATTTTGGGTTCTTACTTGAGTGTTTCTGACAGCCATCCCCTGAGTCACATCCACAGCGGGTGCATCCACTACATCAGGAGGGCTAGAGTCCACACGGAACCCATTAGATGTAGCCCGACTCCACATACCAAGCCGGTTAAAGGCATGGACTGTGATGTAGATATCAGTGCCAGCTGGCATCTGGTCAGCTGCTGACAGGAATATCAGAGCATCTTCTGACAGCTCAATGCGTGTAGAGGGGAGAATGTCTGCAGCTCCTGGTGTCGTGCCGGCGCGCCATTCGTAGTGGGAGAGGCCCGAGTGAGGATCATGGAAGCCCCACCAATGGGCTCGCAACTGACGCCTAATGAATCATGAAAAACAAGAACACGGAACACATCATAACAACACCTCAAGTAATGACATGTTGATAATGCAAATATATCTCAATTTGCTCCTTTAGATCCTAAACAGCACACTTAAATATGAAAAGCTACCAAAAAGGGCAGCAGAGCAACCAGTACAGAATCCTGTTGGTCACAGGTTCAAATCCAACACTTGTCAAACTTCTTAAAATAAAACTCAAATGAACCACTAACCACCTATCCCTGTCCAGAACTGATGGACTTGTAAGGAGACTGCTAACATGGGACTTGACAAATTTCAGTTTAATGAGTTTAAATTGAAGTGGAGCTATCTAGATGAACATGTTTCAATCGAGCATCTTAATTCAATCGAAACAACTGGCTGCCCCCCGCCTTGCAGCCTGCATCAGTATTCTTTCTTGCTTTAAGCACTGTGACTTTCAATGATTTGGGCGGTTGGGGTTTGTCTTCTCCAGTTTAGAAAGTTTTTGTATTTGTGATCACCTTGACGATTGGAAGCTGATATCACCACCCCCAGGACCACCATCATTGACACGCCCCTGCAATGGGGGAGAGTCATCCACCGTGACCCCATCAGACGTCACTGAGGTACAAAGGTCAGCAGCATTGCAAGCCGTCACTGTCACGTAGTAGGTCAGACCTGGCACTAGGTTCAGGTTTTCAGCAAGGACATCTGCGAAGGAATATATGAACATCAATGCTTAGATGGGTTATCATTATATCTAGGCTACAAAACTCAATAGAACAATACAGGGTGGTTCAAAAAAAGGACACCCACATATGACAGTAATTTTCACCAATTTTTAAAAATTACTTGTAACTGTTGATTAGTAGCTATTAAAGTACTGGCCTTTAAGCAAATATGACGAAAAAAATCATTGCATTTGCATATTTTGTCGTTGAGCTATGCTAATTTGAACATTTCATGTGCAAAACCTGTTTGTCCATGGAGGTATACATTCCCTTCGCTTGACTGAGCTCAGCTATTGGAGCTTTATTTCAAAGGGCATGGCATTTGATAATTATGTTAGGTCATGTTATGGAGCAATGAACTTAAGCCGACAGCTCATTGAGTAGATGATCTTAACACGGACATGAATAATTGGACAGCTTCAATAAAAGTTACCATGACAAAATATACTTTGACGGGAAGGTTTTTTAATTTTTATGAACAATGAAAACGTCCAATTTACATAGAATAACCCTGGGACAAGACTGATTTTGGTGACTTGTATTCAAATTAGCATAATATCACTATTTCTGTGACTTTGACTAAGCTTTTTTTCACCATGCATGCATGGTTAAAGGCCTATACTTTACTACTATGTGAAAAAAAATATTTAAAATAAGTGCATTAAGTAGGTGAAAATTGCTGTCAAAAATGGGTGTCCTTTTTTTTAACCACCCTGTAGACCCCATAAGGGAGTCTTTAGAAATCCATGTACCCCATAAGGGAAACGCTACGGAGTTCAATAGGAACAAAGGAGAACAAAAGAAGGGAGACTAAGGTCTTCCTCGCAAGTATATGTGCCTAGGGCTATGTGCGTATTTGTTTTTGCATTTAATAGGACAATAGGGGCCACAATTCCCGAAGGTCCATGATTGACGATCGTGTACAAAACATATGGGAGGTCTTCCTAAACAGTTAAGGTACAAACAAAAGAGGGACAAAAGGTTCACACAGTCTTGTTCCGTAGTTGTGGGGACAAACACTCGTCTGTACATGGTATTTGTTGGGACCAAAAGATGCTGTGGGGACACCAGCAAGTCCCCACAACTCGGTCCTAATTAGCCTAATGATAAAAAACTTCCCCATAACGCGGTGTAGGCCAGGCCACATTTGAAAGTGTTTACACACTGATGTATGTGGTTTTGTTTTTGTATTCCATAGGGGATGTTAAACAATAGAGGACAATAGGGTCCACAATTCCTTGAAGGTCCATGATTGACGATCGTGTACAAAACATATGGGAGGTCTTCCTAAAAAGTTAAGGTACAAACAAAAGAGGGACTATAGGGGGTTCGCGATTGAAGGTGTTTACACACTTTTGCTCTAACCTTACATGCTTTTTTTTTGTTACCTGTGAACAGAATAGGTCCACAGGATGCAGGAAGCATGATCGTTGTGTGGACTTACACATGTCCACACGTTGTGTGGACTTACACATGTCCACACTAGGTTTCCCCCTCTCTGGAAAACAGGTTTAGAGGCATTTTTGGGGTTATGTTCATCAACCCAAAATGAAGAGGAACACTCAAAGAAATCACACACAAAAACATGGGTTGAAAGATTTTTCTCAGTGCGAGTAAAGGTAGTTTTTTTCTCTGGTTTTTTTTAACTACACGAATACTAAAGCCCTGTCCGCACTGGACTTTTTTGGGTCAAACTAACCGAGACTATGGGTACTTTTCCCATTTTAAGTCCAGTGCGGACAGCCTAGGACGTTTTTTCTCTCGGTTACTTTTCCTGAGTCCAGCGGTTACTTTTACTGGCCAACTGCTGCCCAGGAAAACTTCCCACGCGCCCAGGAAAACTGACCAGGTCACTTTTCCCGAGACGATAAGTCCAGTGCGGACAGTGCGAGTCGGTAAAAGCGGCTCAGGAAAGCGTACATCCGGCCCGAGCGCCCTGTTATGCATATAGACACCGCACGAACCTGCACATGCAGTGGCCGAACATTTTGTAGAAACACGCTGCGGTGTATCATCAAGTCCGAGCGGTAGAATCTCGTTAAAATATATATTTCAACGGACAAATACATACACAGAGAAGAGAGATCACGTTCTGAAAATTAATTTGGGGAAATTCTCTTTCTCCACCGATGTATGTTATTTTCTACAATCCAAATTTGTCCTGATACGCTACTGTAGGCATGCACGGAACATCATGGTCCGGTACCGTACGTAGGCCGTAGTCACTGGTTCCTGGCCCACATCATAGCTTCGATTCTGTAAGCATGCAATGGGAACCAACGAATACTGATGGCGCTGCTGCCGCGCGCACGGAACATCGTACAGCGGCATGGCTTCGACGACGTGCATCACAAATGCGTCAGAATTATAGGCCTTTTCGTCAAGATTTAGCGTGTCAAGATGAAATAATATCGTGTAAACGATTATGTTGCGCATGCAAATGGCGTGTGTAATATTACTGTGCATATCGGCGGCTGAAAATGTGATCGGCAATTTGTTTTCTGTGTACGGTGAGTCATTATACTGACACTGTGACAGCTTGGTTACTTCTCCCACGCGGTCTGGGTAAATTTCCCGTGTCGAAAGTCCAAGTGCGGACAGTGGTCACATTTGACCATTTCTCATTTTACCTTCGTCTCGGTAAAACCTTCCCAAAAAAAAGTCCAGTACGGACACGGCTTAAGGAATGTCCACAGTAGATATGTAAGGTAAGGCTTGGGGGGTGTGTGTACGTGAGAGAATGAGTTGTTCACGGTCACAGTTGACTCCCTGCAATACAGGCAACAGGTGGCAAAGTCGAGACAAATCTCGTCAATCTTAATTTGACAAATATTCTTTGAAACTTACCAGTGTCCAATCCCACATGCTGCTCAGTCACAACATTGCTACACCCTGGACACATCCCAGCTCTCCAGGAATAACCAACAATAGCGCTGTGCGGGTCATGAATCCCTTCCCAGAATGCCCTGATCACTCTGCGATCCTCCTGGAAGTCTCGGTCTCTGTGATTGGCCGGGGCATCCGCTGGGTTCCCATCAAAGACATGGCCAGCCAATGGCGGGCTTGCATCCACTGTAAATGCTCCATAACTCTTCAGTGTGATCAGGTCTGCAGTATTGATGGCCTAAAAAAAAAGAACAATCACATAAACCACGGACTTCGAAAAACCACTTTAGTTGTGATCATGAATATACATTGCAAATCTAGATCTGTTATCACCCTTGTATTAGACCAACACAAACAATAAAATCTCTGACAGTTTACCTTCACAGAAATGAAGTATGAGTGACCTTCATGAAGGTGCAAAGGTCGTGAAGGGTCACTGACTCCTATCTCTGTATTCTCTCTAGTAAATGGCATGACGTCTGCATGACCTGGATGTGAACCCACAGCCCACTCATAATATGCTACACCACTCTCCTTGTCTGAGAAGACATTCTTCCAACTGAAAGAAATAAAAGAAGTAAACTGGTGTGAAAATTCAACTTATGTGAAGAAATAATTTAATAAATAAACATCGGTGGATTTTCTTCATTGAACATATCATTCAAAAGTAACAGATACTAGAAAATTGTAATCGAACAAACAAATCTATTTTTCGAGGTGAAACTCGAAACGAGCACACAGGGAATGCATCCTTTACTACTTCATTTTGGCTTAGTGCCACTGGGTTTATGATAATTGCTAGGGTCACAAAGGGTATACCTCTCAGCGAATCATGTGATGGGTTTTCACTGCCTTATTATTATTCTAAGATTTTAGGCTTTGCACGGTGGAGTATCGATATTGCTTCGGTAACACCATGTAGTTGTGTGTACATTCGCTCAGTAGAATAGTTCCGATAAGAATTGTCCTGCTAGTTGCCTAGTTCAAAAGGAACTTGTCCTGCTTATTTGTCACCGTCACCACGGAGTGACTTTAACCCCGCAAAGTGGAAAATGTGTGTTTTGAGATACAAGTGACTTAAGTTGATTATGTTTTGAAATGGTGCTCTGAATATCGCTTAAGCCTGAAAATTAATATTTTCTATTAGTGTATTAGCTATGGGCTTAGTGTTACTTTGTGAAAATTCCAGAAG